GAGGGGTTTGCAGAAGACATACCTTAACACAGATCTAGCTTTTGCTGTTGGCTTTGCCTTTTAAACCGTTGGCCAAAAGATCTCAGAGGCTTCTATTTGGGCACCTTCTTGGAGGCATTTAAACAGAGCTGGATGGTCTACCTGTCAGGTATGCTGGTTTGCTTCCTGCCTTGTAGATCCTTATGGGAAGAGGTTGGATTAATTCCTTTTGAACTCCAGAAGTCTACAAGAATAAGAATTCTATGGTAGGATAAATGAACTTCCACCAGATCTATTGTGAAGTTGGTATCTAACATTCTTAAGGTTTTAGTGAATGAAAGTAGTATATACTTACAAGTGCCTGATCCATTTGCAGAAGAGGAGGCAGTGGGCTTTGGGGGGAAAATATGGGGGGGGGGAAGACATGTGATATTTAACCCCCTCCAAGGGTAGGCATGCATAATGCTGCTGTGTTTGTGCACATAGGCGCATATGTCTGTGAGAGAGAAGGAGCTGATTATACAGTACATAGTTGTTGTAAAGTTTTAAAAAGGTAAAAACTATCGAATCAAGCTTAACCCCTGTGCATTACATGATCACAGCCATGTTATATTCTTGCCAGCAATATGGTGCAAGTGGTTTGCATGGCCTTCTTCCTGTCTGTTCTGGAATCCTGGACTTGCATCCACAGCCTAATCAGATTCAACCTGGTTTAGCTTTTCAGGTTCACAACTCTCTGTCTACGTTTTAACCCACTGTCTCCTAGACAATATATGAATAATAGTCCTAGAGTACATGTTAATTGCATTTTGGAATTCTTAGGCCAACTACAGAAAATCTGGGGCTGCTATTAAAAACCATCTTCTAGATATGAGGTGCCTTCAGTACTATAACACAGAATATAAATAGAAAAAGCAGAAAGATACAATGGCATTAATACATACTCACCCCGGTCAAGGCTACTCAATTAACTAACTGCTATTAAAACATAAATTTGGGATTGTGAATTCCTTGGAATTTAGGAAACTCTTGTTGGTTATTCTAAGGATGGATTGATCAGGGAGCATAAAGTTGGACTGCAGCTCTCCTAATTTTAAGAAAGATATTGCTTTAACTGGCTGAGGGAGAAAATTGCAAAAAGACAAGCAGATTTCTAGAATAAGAGAGAGTCAGAGCAGAATTTTCAAGCTTGTAACTCCCTCCTTTTCAAACATAAGACAGGCAAGATTAGTTCATTGATTTATTTCTCCCCTTAACATAAGAGGATGAATGGCAAAACACTTTCCTTTTACTGCAGTGCTCCTGAATATATAGCCTTTTAAAGAGTGCGAGATTTATCCAAGAACACATTCTTATAGTTTTTATAATTAGGAGTTTCTTTTAAGTGTTTGCAATATATTGGAAGGCTGGCACTTAATACTTTTCCTGGGTATTTATCAAGGCATTTTATTCTCAATAGTTTTTCTGTTTTAATGGATTGAGTAACTTTGTAATCTGCCCAGAGAAGGTTGGTTATTGGCTTGTTGTTGTTTTAGAAGGATAATTTGGAAGATGACTATCTTCCTACATCAAAAAACCCTAACCCTTTGATTCTGAGCCTAGACCATTGTTATTTTGATAGTAAAGAAGCTTCTGGAGTCAAAAAGCATAAATTAAATGAGTTACATTTGTTACTGATGTCATGTGTTTCACATACATCTGCAGGAAAGGACCCACAAATCATTGGAGCATCCTGTCCTTCTACTTTGCCATTCGGGAGATCAACCAGGATCCCACGCTGTTGCCTAATATCACCCTGGGCTACAGCATCCATGACAACTATTTCAACAAAATCATAACAACAGATGCTGTATTGGACCAGCTTTCAACTGGGGAGACAAATGTTCCAAATTACAGATGTGGAAAACAAAGAAACCTCATGACTGTCCTTGAAGGGGCCAATTCTGACATCTCCATCCAGATTTCAACCATGCTAGGCATCTACAAAATCCCACAGGTAGGTCCTTCTGTGAGTATTTTCTCTTTGGACTTTTTTCTATGAAGCTCAAGAACAGATTTTCATTGGGATAGATCTACTTGCATGTCATGGGCAAACTATATGTAGACACCCTAAGATCCCAATCCAGATTAGAAGCCCATGTTGGCTCCTTGCAAAATAAATACCACCAGAGTCTGATGGAAAGTTCTGCCATCTCTGAGTAGAGCAAGCATGGAAGCATGATCTTCTCCAAAGGATCTTCTCTGCAAAAGGTGGGATCCTCTTTATCATTATTTTGGCTTTCTACCTGCTGAAACACTAACTTCTTTCCTTCTATTTCAGATCAGTTATACTTTTGTTTCACAAGTTTTCAACGATAAAACACTGTTCCCCTTTTTCTACCACATGCTCCCGAAAGAAGGAGCCCAGTATCCAGGGATTGTCAAACTACTTCTGCACCTCAGATGGATGTTGGTAGGGCTCCTTGCTCCGGACACCAACACTGGAGAGAGAGTCATGAGGACTTTGAGCCCAGTGCTTATCAGGAATGGCATTTGTGTTGTTTTAGCACAAACCTTCTCCGAGGAGGCCAGCTATATGGCTATCAATCCTGCTCTGTTCCAGAGCTGGAGACAAGTCAATGTCTTTGTTTACTGTGCAGAGATGAGCTCTTTCATTCAAGGATTATATCTGATGCACAAAATAGCTGAAAGTTTGACCCAGCCGGTTGTAGGAAAAGTCTTGATCACCACAGCCTTGTGGGATGTCACGTTGCCTTTGTTGTATAACGAATTATCTTTCAAGTACATCCATGGGATTTTCTCTTTCCTTATCCAGTCACATAATTGGATGAAATTTGATTTTCAGCTCCCTTATTCTGCTATTGAGCAATTTGCAAGCTGGTCATTTAATTGTGATTATACAAAACAGGCTCTGTCAGTGAAAGGGTGGAGAAGATGCATAGAGAAAGAGCAGTTGGACACTCTGCCTGAAGAGGAGATTGAAATGATCTTGTCTCTAGACAGCTTCTACATTTATGATACTATCTGGGCTGTTGCCCATTCTTTAGATGCTGCCTATTCATCCAGATCCAGGAGGATAGAGGGGAAGGGTGGGAACAGAAGAGGAGTTCCAACGTTGGAGCCATGGCAGGTATTTTCTATCCGGTGCATGGGAATCCATTCTACAATTCCTTCTCTTCAACCATTTTGAAAACTTAGTCCATCCTGAGACTCTCTCTGTTACTGCTAATCTTACCCCCCACTCTTTATATTATGATCCCTTCATAATTGTTTACTGCTGCTCCCTTGCAAAGGTTGGCCTTTATTGGACCCTGGAAGAGCATGTGATATGTAGTAAAGTGGGTCTCCTTCAAATTAAGATCCATTTTATTTTTTTATTAGATTTATATCCTAGGTTTCATTCAGAAGCTCAAGGCTTACAGAATGTTCCCTCCTCCCATTTTTACTCACAGCAAAACCCCCTGTGAGGTAGGTTGGATTGGTTCCTATTCCAAAGTCTTCACCTCTACATTCATACTGGCTTTTGGGATGAGGAACTGTCCCAAAGAACTTGTGTGACTAAGGGGGGGCCAGAACCTGGGTCTCCCTACTCCTAGTCCAGTCCCTTCCCCACTATTCCATATTGGTCCTTAAGATGAGAGGGAGGTACTGGCCCAATGTCCCCATGGGGCTTCCATGGCTGAGGAGAGATTTGAACCTGGGTTTTCCACTCCTAAACCAGCACTTTCTCCACTAGACCACTCTGTCAACTGTTGACAACTCCAGGTAACTTACCTGGAAACATCCATCCAGTTTTTTTGACACGTACAGAATTGATGTCAGCCCTTTGAGTAGACCACATTAGGAAACCAAGGTTATGAATGCTAAGATTATGTATATAATGTTACAGCAACAGAATCTTGCAAGTCTGAATATTCTTCCTCCCAACTTATCTTCATGAGAACTAGGGAGGGTCAATTACATTTCTGCCTCAGACTCAGATTTCTTTTATTTGACTGTTGTCTTGGTTGTAACTTTTCCTTCTGTTCCTCAAGGTTATTCCTACTTCCCATGACAGGTGGCTTGCCCTTGTCTTTTTTCCCAACTTCCCAATTTTGCCTACAGGCCTGGGACTTCCTGGTGGTCTCCCATCTAAGTATTCACCAGGACTGACCATGCTTGATTTTCTATATCAGTCAAGGTTGGCTAGGCACAGCCACATTTTTGATGTTTGATATATAGGTACTCTTCATATTTTTTTCTGATATCTTAAAATTGACTTGTAAATATGTGCATGCATTTCAATTCTAAACATTACCTTCTAAAAACCATTTTACTATAAAAGCAGGATTTTATAGTACTTAGTTTCATTTATTATATTGGGATTACTTGTCTGTAAACTCCATTGCAAGTTTTCACTTTTAAAATCGATTTATAATTTTTAAGATAAATGAAGAAGTTTATATTTTTCGTACTGCTCGCTTATGCCATATCTTTTAAAATTAGACTTTATATTAGGATGCCTGGAGCAGGAAATGTAGATGAATCTCCTAACTACATAGTAAAGTGATTATAATTAAGTTGAGGACAATTTGATGAGTAATGATGCCCCCAAATGTGCAACATTCAATAATCAGGCTCAGTTTATGAAAGCTAAGTTGTCAACTCTGCTTGTGGGATTCACACAAAAGACCAAGGCTATGTGTGTCTCAAAGACATGGTTTTCCAAACTGCTGAAGCAAAAAAAAAAGGGGGGGGCACTCATGAGTGATATTAAATATATCAACATGTCTTACACAATATCTGGTGTCTGGATTAAGCCCTGAACTATAGAAGATGCAATTATGAAATGGGCAGCTGAGATAAGAAATGTACTTCATGTTTTCTACAGGCTGCAGTTTTCTCTTCCACTCTAGCTTCATCCTTTCCTTCAAAATTCCAAGTTTCACAATTCTTCCATGGATGGGGTGCATTTGGATGGGAAGGGAGACCTGACAGCCAACTTGGACATCATAAATTGGGTGGTGCTCTCCAATGTCACAATGACCAGAGTTAAATTTGCAGCGCTGGAAAGACGAGGAGCTGAAAACCTCGAATTTATTATTAACCAGGATGGTATTGAGAAACTGAATTGGCTTAACAAGGTAGGGAAATTTCTCCATTTCACTGTCTGTCAGTCTTTGAAGAACATCAGTAGATCTTCCAAGTAGTTGCTTTTCAATACTAATCAAGGCCAAAAAAGTGCACTCTTTTTGATAAGACAGAGGGCATTTTTCTTCACTCTGCTTCTCAGGTGAGCAAGAGAAATAACACAGCATGAGAGACTCCCAACTATTGAATTAGTGCTGTCCACCCATCCTTCAGTCAACAGAAAATTATACAGAGAGGAAATTGATTGTCCCCATTTGGTGATCTTTCTCTCCTACCTCCCTTGCTTCTGTTCCAATCCAGGTCGGTTCTCTGGCTTCCCTTCAAAGTAATGGATGGAATGGCAACGCTTAACAGATTATACATACTTTAAGCTGCCCTTGGACAGTGTTAGAATACTTTAAGAGGCCATTGGAGTTGGGCGGCTAATAAATTTAAACAAGCAGCCAAATAATACCAATACCAATACCAATACTTTAATGGCCAAGTATAAAACATACACAAGGAATTT